CCAAAGAACAACCTCAATTCAGAAAGGTAGGCGCGGGCACCCGATTCGGTTGCCGGTGACAAGACTGGTCCGGGAAAATGCGAGAGCAATTGAGAGAGAGAGAGGAGAGAGAGAGAGAAAGAGAGCAAAAAGTGCGAGAAAGTGAGAGTGTACTTCTGATCGTTTGGGCTCCTACTGCCAACTGGTACCACTTTAAAGAACAGCAAAACATGGTGTTGATAGACGTGTAACGTACAACATTGCAGTAGACGCTACTAATATAGTGATACCTAGCAATGGAGATACCTCGGATTTTATTAATTGATCAGTTTGTCCGTTGATTTTCCTAAAGCGCGACCCGCAACGCGGCGGCTGCGCTCACTCCGCTCAGAAAATTGCCTGACGAAATATAGGCACAGCTCTCGATTTCGGGTAAAAATCTATAAGAAATGTATCGCAGAAAAAGCGCCTCCTCGGCCTTGACCTCGCTTTTAAAGCCCAAAGTTTGTTAGAATCGACCCCTTCCATCTACTAGGTCTCGAAAACTACGCGGTGTGCCCTGTCACGCTTCTACGTCTATTGATGTTTGACCGGACATTATTCAAGACAATAGGATTAGAAGCCCAAAGCCTAAGCCCTGCTCTAACGCTGTCTGTGCCCTTGTTGGCATGAAGCGTACCTCTCGGTACCTAGCCAATAGCAAAAGTCGATTCCAGGGCTTCCAAGTCCCTTTAAAATAAAAAATTTCACGGTTACGTGACTTTCCAACCAGGACAAATCGTAGACTAACTGTCCCCAGCCGCCGCTGCCCCGAATCGACCTCAATTATCCCGATTTGGCCCGGAGGGGCATATTATAGGGAGAAAACTAGTCCCGTTCAATACTCGCCACTGGGGCAAGCAATTAAGATGAGGAACGCCGACTCGAAAATCTACTCTACTTTTGAAATAATCTATTTTGCAAAAAGGTTTTCGAGTCGTCCTGGTTAGACCCAAGCCCCGAAAACCACTTCAACCAAAAATTGGCTCGAATTTCTCCCTCACTTTCCTTTTCCGAACTGCTGGGTCATTTTTGGGGAGGTACATGCGATGAGTAATGCCTACAAAAATATGCGAAAATCGGATTATATGCAAATTTGATGCAGTGACTCATACAGACAGAAAGGGCATGGCTGGAGCTAAAAAGTTGTCAAAAAGCTATTTAAATGTTTCTAAAGAATATAAAGTTGACAAAATTAACATTGTGGAGTGCCAAAATCTTGCTATAAGCTTCCGAAGTTTGTCTTATGATTCGATAATTCAGGAAAAAAAACAGAAAAACGAAATTCAAGATTTTAAAAGCATAATTTTTCGTCGTACAAAATTTCTACTAAGACTATCGAAATTTGAATTTAATATGTTTCGCCGATTTAAATATTGGGTTGTTGCTACGCGTTCGGAAGAGTTACAATCTTTATTGACAGGTTTGGATGAGTATGTGAAAATATTTGAAAAGAGGCGTAAAACATGGAGGAAACTCCTTATATAGTGTTCCAAAAACAGTGCTTACACGAGCCAGATAGCTTCTCAAAAACAGCTACAAAACTCTAGCCTATACCAATAAACAATCCCTAAATCGCGTCAAAAATACTCCAAAAAACTGTGGATGCCATGGCCGAATACGGTCTGTAATCTGAGTCACCGGGCGGCGCTGCTTGGCTGTGTGGGTCTCAAGTGGGGCTGGTGCGCGCCCCAACAAAAAAAGAAGGAAAACCGGGCAACAAACACACACACATTTCTGGGGCCAGCTGGTGCTGGCACCCGGGTCTCGCCGCGACAAAAAGCGCCCAAAAAGTATAAACGGCGAAAAAACGATGGAGAAAATTGATTTCAGGCGCAAAAAATTATACTATGGGGTACTGTCGGCTAGAAAATTGACTAATGTCAAGAAAAAAAAACCGGTAAAAGGTATATTTACCTGGCAAAACGATTTGAGGGTTTGTGTACGAGGTTAATAACCACGACAAAATTTTTATCAAAATTCTACTGTTCTAAAAAGTATATTCATTATGCGTCGATCCAGATAAATGAAAAATTAGAACAATTGGCTCCGAACAACAAATTATGCTGAAGCGTATTTTGGCTGCACGATGAGGGGTACGGTAGGTAAATCAGGCACCTTAAAACGGCAAATTTCAAAAATAAGGTGGAAGGTTTTGTATGCCAAAACGCGCAAAATCGGTTTCCAAAAAAGTTCAATCGGAGGTGTAAAGGAGTAAATAACGGAAAACCTTTACAAAATCTTTAGAATTTCGTTCGAGCTAGTCTGTTAGCCTTTCTTGATTTATGCGTGGGTAATTATAATGCGAATAATAGCCTAATTAACGTGTGATCCAAAAAAAATTTAAAGACGTGATTTAATAAACTAGCTTACCGAATTGCTGAAGTTGATCCATTTGGGAACACGCGGCGAATAGGAACAAATAGACAGATAGCGTGAAGGGAATTTTTTCGATTCACCCTCCGAACGACGGACGATGCCTATTTACAGGTCTTACACCACGCAAAAACAATCAAACACACGTTCGCGGGCCGGTGGATTTGTTCCCAGTTTTTAGGCGACTAGGCGCTCCCCCGCGCGGAATGCCAACCCCCACCGTGCACAAATCGCAGCATAATTACCCCTACTAGTGGGGGGTCGATGGGGGAATTGGGGTTGCAGAATTTGCACGATATCTGGCACGCTTTAAAGGGGCTGGAACATGTCTGATAACTCTGCAGCGTCAAGATAGAGGATATCTCGCAAGTAAAAAAAAATAGAGCGGTCGTTTTTCGGCTCCACCACCTAACGTAATCGGCTATCCGTCAGGCTACGGGGCTGTAAACTATACCAAAATACGCGCCAGATTTAGACGAACATTTTGTTGTACATTTCACCATTATAAACGACCGTAATTTAGTTTTTGCATCTGGTGCAACCTCCCTGGAGCGCACCTAACGTAACTCGGCCCTTCAGTATCTTACAGGGCTGTAAATATCAAAATACTCGCTAGACCAAGACGAACTTTTTGGTGCACTTTACATCACTATACGCCACTGTGGTTTGTAGTTTCTGGCTCTGATATAGCTTACCTCCCCCGAGCGGCCCTCCACCTAACGTACCGGGCTCCCCATCACGTTACAGGCTCGTAAGGCGAATCCTACAGTTGGTTAACAAAAATTGTAAAAATTAGCGTGTTCTCTTTTTTAATACGGAAACACTCCTAAAGGCATATTTTTATGAAAAGTAACTGCCCAGAAATCTGAATATGCCCAATTAGATTCCACTTCACGGTAAAGGCGACACTCTGAGCAACTGTTCGTGTTTGCTGCGGCCGTGTGCCCCGGCCGACTACAAGGTGACGCGTTTGTGCCTGAACTATCATTTTGTTGGCTTCCGATCCTTACAATACATTCAAATTTTACAGCATCGATGTCGTCGGACGACTCGCTGCCGTCGCTGGAGAGCGTCGTCGACGTGGAGGAGTTCCAGCCGCTGTTGGACGCCGAGGATTTGTTGGGGTAAGTTGGAGATATTTCTCCTCTCTCTCTCTCTCTCTCTCTCTCTCTCTCTCTCTCTCTCTCTCTCTCTCTCTCTCTCTCTCTCGCTCTCTCTTTCTCCCTCTCAGACCCTCCACTTCCAGCCTCGGTCAGATGCGCCTCAACTCCCCAGCCTACCAGGCGGGCCTCGACCGTCTGTTCGAGCTCGAAGCGAAGCAGCGTGTCCAGGGCGAGCTCCAGGTCCATGAGTACATTGAAGTCGGGCTCAAGCCGTCATCCCTAGATTCAATTTCCCGATGCAGGGCCTCAACCTGCGGCTGCGGATGCTCGACCTGGAGATGGCGCACCTCGTCAACGTGCCCGAGCAGCTGGATCTATTGCCGTTGGCGACGCTGGAGGAGCGACGGGTAGCGTATCTCTCACGTTAGCTCGCTCTCTCTCTATCTCTCGCTCTCTATCATCCACCCTCTCTCACTCGCCCTCTCTCTGCTTGCCATAAATAAACGTGGTTTGCGAGTTCCTTTAGAGCACCTTTAGATCAGCTTTTTCCAGACAGCCGCCCGCATGGCCAAGCAGGTCACCAGCCGGGTGCAGGAGATCCACGAGAAGGCCGAGAAAATCCTCGAATCATCCACTAGGGTGCGCCAGGTCGGAAAATCCATGCTCCTCTCGCCTTAAAGGGATTGAGAAGACAAAATCAACCTCTAACGACCTTAATTCTTCTAACGTCTATATTTAGTACGTGGCCCGGGTCGAAGACCAGCGCCAACAGCCCACCCCGCCCACGCCGTCGCCGGCCGCCTCGCAGCAGAACATGGAATAGCAACCACTACACGGGACTCGTTGATCCTCTTCTCTTATTGTTTTCCCTTTTGTTACTCGTTTTTTACTGCTCTACTTTGTAAACTCGGTTGAAATCGTGGCTGGTGAATAAACGTTACAATGGTTTTGGGCTAAACGCATTTTCAGAAAATGACAAGTTTTTGAAGCAGTTCAGTTCATCTACACACGCTGGCATCGCAGCATATCTTTCAAAAATGTGTATGGCATTTTCAAATCAGACTGAGACATGAAAATGACAACGTTTTCAACGCGTACAGCTTATCTATCTGTCTGTACCTTTTTGGGAAAATACAGAACAAATTAGCATGAAATGATGGAATTTCCGGTTTTGAAATGCTCCAAATAAACTTACTGACATTTATTTGGGGCCGCTCCCAGCCGCTGCTTCATCTAAAGGTATGGGCAACTCTTTAGCGAAGCCTCTCTCCCCCGTTCTCTCTCTCTCTCTCTCTCTCTCTCTCTCTCTCTCTCTCTCTCTCTCTCTCTCTCTCTCTCTCTCTTTTCTCTCTCTCTCTCTCTCTCTCTCTCTCTCTCTCTCTCCCCCCCTCCCTCCCTCTCTCTCTCTCTCTCTCTCTCTCTCTCTCTCTCTCTCTCTCTCTCTCTCTCTCTCTCTCTCTCTTGCTCGCTGTAACCGCTTACGCCATAAAATCCCAGGACTCGATGCCGCCCCGCTCCTTCGAAATGGACCGCCCGGCCGAGGTGGAGGCCTCTACGGCCCCGGCTGCCGTTGACCTGGCTGCTCTCGATTTGCTTGGGTAGATGAAGCTTGCAGAATATTACATGCGGAATTAAACCTTATTTATCAAAATGTGTTTTTTGTTGAAAACGCGTTTTTTTTTAGCCTGGAGCGGCTGCAGGCGACGTGCCCGGTCTACCAGGAGCGCGCCGCGCGTCTCGCCGAGCTGCGGCTGAAGAGCGAGGCCGGCGGGTTGCCGTTGGACGAATATCTGGAGGTATTTGCGCAACGATACTTCCCATGATGGTCTGCGGGTCCATGCAGCCCCCAATCTGGTCCGCTTTCGCGCTGTTCTGCTAGGCTAGATTAGAACGATTGCGATGACGCACGCTGAATTCGGGCAATTCCGCTACATTCCGCTTGGTGACGTTCGTCGCATTCGCTTAGTCGCCGTTTAGCCTATTTCCCTTAGATTCCGCTACGTTCCTATACCCTACGATCAGCTCCGATATGGCTCTACAAAATTCCAGGCGAGCAGTCTGCAGGCGAAGCTGCTGGGCATGCAGCTGCGCCATCTCATCAAGCTGTTGGAGGAGCTGGCGATGATCGTGGAGGAGGGATATCAGGAGCAGCAGATCGTTGCAGGGCAACCACTATCTTTCACAATTCTTTCTTTCAGCAAATCGCGCTGCTGACGCGACTGGTGCTGAACAAGCTCGACGAGATCCAGCGGCAGATGGTGGCCGAGCATGCGCAGCTGGATCACGTGAAAGGAAAATGGAAGATAGAAAATTCGATGAGTTCTAGGTCCTCGCGCAGCTCAAGGAGATCCGTCGCGAATGCTCTGTGCATGGTGAGCAGCAGATGAAGTCTGAGGAGAAGGAGCAGCCGGAAAAGCTGGAAGAGCCGGTGAACGAGTTGAAGGCGTCGGAGCAGCAGAACAAGGAATAAAAGCACTACGGATTAGAAGGAATCGATTAATTGATGGATTATATTACGGATCGGAATGTTGTATTTGTGGGTTGAATAAACTGTGTGATGTGGCTCGGTGGACGAGTGAATCAGAGAAAGCGAGAAAGAAAGAGAAAGATACGGACAAAGAGAAAAAGAAAGAGAGCGCGAGCGAGAGAAAGAGACCGGGAGGGACAGAGAGAGAGAGAGAGAGAGAGAGAGAGAGGGGGGGGAGAGAGGGGGAAGGAGAGAGAGGATGAGAGCGAGGGAGGACGGGAAGAGCGGGAGAGAGCGGGGAAGAGAGCGAGAAAGCGAGAGAGATGGAGAAAGAGAGAGACAGCCAGAGCGGTAGAGCGCGAGCGAGGGCGAGAAACAGACGAAACAAATGAGGAATGCACTATTTGCATCCAACAATGAAGGATTTCCTCATTTTCTATTCATCCCATTTTTCAAGCGGTTGCTTTTGAGGTAGGTTTCACATGGCACTTTCAGAACTGTCCATCAAATTTTTACTGTTTTACATTTTCCAGATTCTGATGCCACCCCGCCCCCGTACTCCAGAATCACACTGTCGCACCGAGCCCGAGGCGTCCAGCCCGACGGGGGTGAACTGGGATGACGTCGGGGAGGATCGGCTTGGGTTGGTGACATTTTTGAAGCTTTACAGCTCTTCATAAAGGTATCAATTAAATTGTAGCCTGGAGCGGTGGCAGGCGACCTGCACGAACTACCAGGCGTGCATCGCCAGGCTGACCGAGTTGACGCTGAAGGGTCAGAATGGCGTGCTGCAGCTGGAGGAGTCTATGGAGGTCAGTCTCCCGCTCTCTCTCTCTCTCTCTCTCTCTCTCTCTCTCTCTCTCTCCCTCTCGCTTTACCTATGAACCTTTAGCTCTGCCGCCTCAAGTCGAAGCAGACGCACCTCGAGCTGAAGTACCTGGACAACGTCTTGGCCGGGTTGGCGGTGTTGAGAGGGCATGAAGCGCCAAATCCCAATATGCGGGTTTGACAAGCCTACTGGACCATCAAAATTTTGTATTTTTAAGGCAATCTTCTGTGTCTACGAACTGGCCATGGCCAAAACGCAGGAGATCATGCAGCGCATGCAGCTGGACCAGAGTGAAAAGTCTGAGGTATTTTGTTGCTGCTGCTAATTTTCTGCCTTCCAGGTGTTGGCTCAAGTCGAGGTGATGCTCAGCGAGCAGCCTGAGCAACAGCCGGAGCTCCAGTAGATGAACAACAAGGATGAAGCAGCATGAAGCAGTATTTATTAAACTACCGAAAGTGATTGTTTTGAAAGCATATTTGGCTATGTGCATAAAAAATACAGGCCCGGTTTTATTGTACATTACGATAACAGAATACGAGAAACTACAGAAGAGGAAAAGCAAAGTTGATAGTCGAAATCTCAAGAGCGATATGCTCGTCGAAAAGTGATTCAAAGCCTAGAGATGCACGTTGTACGACGCTTGCTTCAGAATTGTGCGCAACTGCTCCCTGGCTTCATCCGCTTCTTCTCTGGCATTTGTTGTTCTGCCATTTACGGAAGCCATACCCTCAAAAAAATTTCCTGATGAGATTAAAGCATGCATACCTTGACGTACGGGTGCTCCAAGCATTTCCAAGCAAAGGGTCGTCGTTGCGGGTCCCGGTCGAGCATCTGGCGCAGTAGGCTGATCAGTTCCTCATTTTTCCGGGTGGTCTCCTCTAGAAGGCGGCGTTGATTTTACTGGCCATTTACGAGATTTATCAGAGCACTTGGGCGTAGTTTATGAGGCACATTTTACATTCAAGTACCAAAGCATACCTTCCGTCGCCGCCCGGCACCAATGTACCACTTTGGGCCGCACTAGCTCATCGAATTTTGTCCCATTACCGCCGAAGACGTATTCGTGCTGTAATGGCGTAGTTTCTACTCTTCTCTCTCTCTCTCTCCCTGCTTTACCTTCTTCTCTATCGCCTTCAACGGCTGAGTCGAAGCCAAGGCCGCGCTTTCGGCAGTGTCCGGAGTCATCAGTTGGAAACGCTTTGTAGTTCCACCGACATCTTAAAAAACTACCATAAATTTGTTGTTAATTTAACTCACTCGCGTCGTCTCCAAACGCCTCCAGCATCACAAGCGCGGCGCACCAAATGTCGACTAAATCTCATTTACAGAAAAATTCCAACTTTACTCACGCCTCGCGTCGTACTGGCCATGACCGGCAAGAGCCTCGGGCGGATAGTAGGCCTTTGGCGTCCGGGGTTGGATCGTGTGCTGTTGCTCAGAGTTTACGAATCTAAAAAAAAATCGGAGGTCTTGCATAAGATTCGAAATCGAAGACGTCGCTGACTCACCGCGAGACGCCAAAATCGAAGAGCTTCACGTCGAAACCCTCGCGACTCATCAAGATCCCGATGTTTTTCGGGGTGAAATCCTGAAAAAAAACTGAAAGATATGCTAAACTAACGCTACCCGGTGGATGATACCAATGGTGTGCAGGTGGTTGAGGGTCACTAGCAGCTGGTAGAACAGCTTTTCCAGATTTTGGTGGCTGTAGGGTCGCGGTTGAGTTGCGCCACTGAATGTTATTTTATCATGACACCAGGGTTGAAAAGCCGCTTCGCGACTTTTCAACCCTGGCTCCGTCTGATCCGATGATATTCTTCACTTTGCATAATTCTCACGATTTTCGATGACAAAAAATGAGAAACGCTACCTCTCTTCCCAGATATAGGCTACCGCAACTTCCGGCGTATGCTAATTGTTTCCTAACAAAGAGGGTGGCCCATTTTTCAACAAAAAACTAAATTTTAATGTCGAAAACAGCTCATTTTTGAAAATTTTATTGGTGTGCAGTCATCCCCAGGCCATTACACACCTAATGACGTATCAAATATGCCCTTAACTACTCCCCTTATTGAGATACTACTGGAACAACCTGACGGAAGTTGCATGCAAATGCACACACACACACACACACACACACACACACACAGACACGATTTTTTTATATATAGTAGGATAACTTCTCTTATCTAAAA